GGTATTCGAGAATTGGCACTAAGTATCCTCCCGCATATTAAATCTGTTATTGACATACATCTACAGTTGTACCTACTTGTATGGTGCGATTTGTCATGTATGAAACTTATATACTTACTACACTCTCCAAAATAAATACTGAAGCAAAAAATATTTACTACCCAGTTGATGCGAATTGTTTTTAATATTCAAGTCAAAGAAAAGATTAATTGAATAAACTTTTTACAAAGAACTTTTAAAGTTTGTTAAAAAATAAAATAAAGCCAAATAGGCAATTCAAATTTAAAATCGAAAGCAATTATATTGTGTAGTCAAAGGGTGTTAATTTGTTTGTTAAATTAATTTTGACGTTGAAATATTTTATAAGGAAATCGCGTTCTAATTGGATTAAAATTTTAGCTACCGTGCATTTTGGTATTGATTTTGTTTATATATATAAGGGCCTACCTTTGAAATGAGAGACTCAAATGAAAACAGACAAAATAGTTTTAAAGTCTCTCAATTATTATCGTTTGTATTTATTGGATTGATGACTATATATTACATATGAACTAGAAAGCCAAATCAGAACATTAATATTTAAAATTTTGGATATTTTTTAATGTTTATTCGCCTCGATTGCTTATTGGTAACGCTTAGTCTCTACAACCTGGGTTAGGTTTGATTTCCGGCGTAAATTAAATTGTATACGTGAAACACAGTTTTCCAACAAAGCAAAATAAGAAATTAATGTATAATCTATTTCATACTAATATTATTATATTTAAACCTTTCATTTAAAACTATTCGAATATTGCCATTCAAATGCTCACATTGAAAGCTACATACATGTCGATCTTTTGTAATGAACAGTATGCATTGGACCGAATAGTTTCCGCATTCTATTAGCACTTTTGAATGTCATTGTCACTGTGCTAATTGCGACTATATTACGAGCTGTATTCAACGTTACAATTTGCATATATTGCGAATAATTGTGATTAATAAATTCGTGTTTTTAATTATTGTAATCGTTTTTTCTTTGTAAACATATCTCTAAATATTTGTTATAAATTACTACTTACTTAGTTTAGGCTTCATATAATTAAATCATATGAAAGAAATACCTATGTCATACATAAATATATTAAAATTTATGTAACAACAGGTATTTCTTTAGTTAAAAGGGTTCCCAAATCTTACACATTATAATGCATTGTTGTCAAATGAATAAACACATTTTTATTATATCTAATATCTGATTTATTATCAAACGGGATGTTTGAAGTCAAAATTAATCAATATGCAATATTAGTAGGAAAACCTATTTCTGCTCTTGCTATTAAAAAAGACAATAAAAATATATAATTTATATTTATAAGCATAAAATTAAAAAGGAATTTATGTTTCCGCACTAACCATTTACCTATATGGGAATCGTTGAGTAACGAAAAGTGAACACGTGTAACAAGCAGTACAATAATTGTTCCACTTGTCGCGGGAGCAATATTTAAAATCTGCACGAGAGCGATCTTGAAAAGGTAAGGTTGAGGCAAGTTGTAGAGGACCGGCCCTACGTCTCTGCCGCAGCTTCGAATTAATTTTTCCAGGCAGTTGACTTCGAATGTGTTTCCGGCTTGCCTCAACTCGAAAGCAAACTTTTCGTGTTTACATTACTTTAAATTCTTTCAACTCCAAGCTTTGCTCACGATACTTAGCATAGTATCATTTACAGAGTATATTTATTTCTTGTTTCGAAACGTTTTGCCTTTTCACTTAAGGAAAATTGCACTTCAAACACTTGTTAAAATTTTCCCCTTGTACATATTTGCGCTGTTAAAAAGATAGCAAAGTTAATGTTTCAGCCTAGCGATTTTTATTGCTGTTATTAGGCATAAGTTTGTACTTGCTAATATAAGTTTAAAAATCATTATACGTGAAATTGCTTCACGCTTGCTGCTTAAGCAATTTTGGAGAATGGGCATTTTAAAGAGTAAAGGCATACTTCTTCTCCTTGACACCAGAACATTTATACAACCAAACTCCATACGAGAACATTATTTTTTTTAAATTAATTAAAACGAAGTTAAGTTATTTAAATTACAAAACATTTCTATTCAAAATTCCATTTCTTTTTTAGTATTTGGTTCGAATTCCAGAATGTCAAAAAAAGGAAAATCAAATAAATATACGTTTTAATACGGACGACGTTTCGCTGTAGCAATAAATGCTAAATACCGGGGGCCATAAGCTCCCGCTTAAACATTATATATGATGTGCACTCAGCGAGATTACAGCTAAGGTGTCTTCTCTATAATGTTTAGAAACGTATTTTGAATAAATAATATTTTTTACTGTTTCTCGCAATTAAATAAATTTCTCCTGAATCTCCAATGAGGCACCGGGCAGACACATTTTGCATCTTCTTACCGTTATTTCATAAGCTTTTATGACATAGTAGTTTTTGTGCTTTAAAAAGAAAACAAATATTTTTAAGCTGGGAAACAAACCGAGACAATTATTAAAAAAACTCAATATTTAACCTTTCATAAAATCCTGAATAGCAAATATACTTCTGACAAGAAACATTTTAATTCGGTCTAGTTCGAATCTAATTTATGCTAAAATGATAACATGTATACGTCTACGCCAACTTTCCAATTTACGGGATTGCCTTGTCTGCACTCTGATTTTACGCCTTTCAATTAACCAGTAATCATACACGCCCCGGGAACCCTTTCATTAAACACTGGTAATGAGTTTTCACCCTTCGTCGAATAGTGGACATCGAAGCAGACGGGATGGCACCTTTTTCGACTTTTTCTCATGTCAGCCAATTGAGCTCGAACGGGAACATACAAGCTTTTTCAATACATGCATTCAGGACAGGCTAACTGGATTAAATCTCTCATCTTATTATCTTTTATAACAAAATTTGTCTAGTTATTTGAATTTCACTGAGAAGTCATATGATCCTAATGCAGTTTTATGTTTAGGAGCTTCGTTCATGTGATTAATTCTCAAAAAAAAAAAATTTAATAGTATATAATATCAATTAATAATAATTCTTAGGGTACGATGAATATATCTTAATTTATAACTCACCTATATATTTTCTAAATAGGAAGGACGTGATTACAAATAAAATTTGCTTTTGTTTAAATTATTTTTATGAATTAAAACGTATTGCTACGGGTTGTTATTTTTTAGTTTTTAGTGAAAACATCTTTGCCATAATTATTGATTTTTCATGTATATAGTATTATTTTTACAGCATAATAATAACTATCGTAAGTACTGAAGAGAAAATGGGTCAATGTGTACTAACATAAACAAGGCATGAACTAATGTAGAATACATAACTGTCAAAGAATAAAACTTCAGTTCATGAAATCCTCATTAGTAGTAATAGTCCATCCGATATCTGCGACAGTTTAATTAATACGCTATACCTTTGTTGAATCGATAATCGCCTTCGATATTAACATTAATTAACAAGGAAGTCTGATGAGGATTTACGTAGTTATTAAACAATGCTAGTATATTAAATTCGCATTGTGACATTTATGATACCTTTGTAGGAAAATGTGAAATTTTATTATGTAATTGATTTAGATTATTGCATATATAGGTTATTTATTAGAAAAATACTTTACTAAACTTAATTTTTCAAAGGATATGAAACAAAAAGTCGATGGTTTGTAAATAAGAATTTTAATATTGAACATCATGAATGTACACATAAGTTACGAACTGGAATTCAGGGATTGTAGAAATTTATAAATCAACTTCAGTCTTGTACAGTTCTAATTGACTGTTAATTAACATTTAAAAACAACAGCATTTGAATTCTTATGCTGAGAGCGCATCGGGTATATAGCAATATTATCGCGTGAAGTCAGACGCAAATAAATTAGTACAAGTCGCCGATTACGATTTTCTCTCACGACTTTTTTAATTCTAAAACAGTATTTTTAATATTCGTGAAGTTTTTTATTCTAAATTTAAAAATCAGCACTGGCCATGGAATATGAAATTATCTTGATTACTGGAGACATCGACTACGAGAAAAAATCGTATTATAGCAGCCATTGATAACGACTGATTTTTGATAACCCTACGCCTTATACGTAACCTTTAAATCTACAAATGTACACAATTACTTATACCATACTTAGTATATAAGTAGATGCTAGTAATACGTCTATACCCGTTATGGAATAAATAAGTTAGAAAAATATTACACGGAGTACATACAATACATTTTTCTAAAACATTCATTGAAGCCATTGAATATATTATTTAGACCACCCACTTCTCTGATAAAAAATAACCGAGGCTCGAACCCGAGATTCCGGTGTCCTGCGTACCAGTGCTAAGAGCATAAATACTTACAAAAACGAATAGTTCATGAAAATCTAAACAGACTTAATTATTTTATTTACGAATATTATACTCAAATACGCATACGTCTAGCGATTCTTTGGCACAAAAATATTTTATATCGTCCTACAAGTGGACAAATCTTCTTTTCCAGATAAAAGATTTTCAAAAGACATTGCTTTTTTATTTTACAAATATAATTACATAGAAAACAACAACTGCGCTTTCGCTAGCGTAGTTTATAACTCTGTGCTCATTTCAGTGCCTTTGCCATCCGACGTTTCCCCCATCGCCAGATTCAGTTGCTCTGAAGCCTGTTAAAAAAGATAAAATACACCTTCTTCTCAAAAACCTAGACAATTAGTGACACAAATTAACACAAACACAAATGGGTTCAGTTAGTGGTTAGTTAATTGTTAGTTAAACCTTCACCGGCATGCGAATACCTGCAATCGGGGTGGGGCGAACGTGCAATCATTCCGCTACGATGCAACACAAAGATTTTGATGCGACTACGACTCTTAAGAATTTTAATGTAACTTCAAAAATTTTGGTAACAGATAGAACTAAGAAGTAATATGGTTTTTATTATACATATCAATAAGGTCGTAAGTCGCATCACCTGTACACAATTATACTTACTGTGTGCTTTCAATAAGGGGTTTAAGTATTATGTCGAGGGTGTTGTCGTGTCGTATATGCCTGGCGTGGGTCCGGGGCAAATTCGCGTTGCAGTCGCGAGATTCGCGCGAAGGCCGCATATAACGTCTCGCCAAGGAAGCGCTGTCGCCTATGTTGTTGTTGCTAGCGTGTTTCTGCCCAATCATACGACAAACTACCGATGCGTGCAATTTACACGCAGTGAAACGGAACACTTCATACGTACGTAATTATTGACGGAATGTTGTATATATCTTGGGTATAACTAACTTATTATTGGTCAAGCTATCGCAATCAAACCAATTCACAAATTTATGTTCCGTTTCACTGTCAAATTAGAAATATATATCAACTTACTTGTCAATGTGAAGTTGATTTTAAATATATATATGAAGAACCCAAAATTTTACCCAAAGGCATAGTGTTTCATGAATATTGCTTTCTTACAGAAATAAGATTAATATACCATAGACTTATTAAGCCCCATTTAAAGCAAGTTCAGCGGAGCGTGATTAAATTTAAAATTAAAATGATCAAGAGTGATGAAATAGAATTTCCATTTTAAAATTCTTCTGATTGTTCATTACTGGAAATCTCCGATATTAAAAAGAAGTCATGAAATGGCCTTTATTACATAGCAGCAGCCTGTACAAAATTAACGTTTTAGTGGCCCAGAAACAGGAGCTGCGGTCACGGCAGCCCTCGTAATGTGTTTGAACTTATTATCTGATATATCTAAAAGTCAAAGTCACTTATTTGTTCAAATTATTAACTTTTGACTATATGAGATTTCTCATGTTGTTGTAATCGTTACAGAATTTTTATTTTACAACATCAATTACAATATTGAATTACAAATGTGATCATAACCGGCTCGAAGGACCGTTTAGAATGAATAAATTCATTATCAGCAAATATAAAGTAATCTTAGACAGCTGGATTAAATGCATTCTAGAAAATCTTATCCTGTGTATCCTATCTGAGCAATGTACTACACTATTCAGCTGTCCATGGACAATGGCTTTTATTCGTTTTTTATTTGCCTTCCATCTTATAAAACTAAAACATTTCTGACAGTTTATGGCATAATCGATTTTATTGTACTTATTACGAGGGCCACCAATCGGTTAGAAAGCAAAGCACTCACGAAGAGAGAGAAGCCAGGGTGGGGGTGTACAGGCGTATGTCTCCTAGTGGCTGCGCTATCACTCGCCACGGAGACAAGTGAGCGCTGGGAGCCTGAAACCCTTCGGGGCGCAGCCGGTGGACGCCGCCACACCCCCACCCCCTCGCCAACCCACGCCCTACTCACAGGAGCCAGGGAAGCGCCCGCGCCGCATTTCGCGCTGTCTGAAGACCTAAGGGGAATAAAGCAAAGCCTGATCATAATGACCAGCAAATCTCGTCTTAAATAGCTGGTAATAAAGGTCTTACCGAGAATCTAAATTAATGTTTTTGTCAAGGATGAGAATTTCTATGTGCCAAACCATTTTTATTATAAGCAAAAAGACAGATTTTTCTTTTTCCAGAACGATCCAATTATTTATTGTACAAACTAAGCAACTGAAAAATCTAAATAATTCCAGGGGATTATATTTATCCTCATATAAACACATTACAAATCCATATAAAGCAAACATTATCCATCATACTATCCATTATAGACACGGGATTAGCGCGTAACAATCATCATTGACTTTATAAATTTTCGCTACAATACACCTTAAACAGTATATGTATAATGACTAGTTGTTTATATATGATAGCTATCAATTTGATGCTTTTTGGGCTTATGAGTAATCTCACCTTTCGGAAGAATATGCGTAGTCCTGATCAGCTCCCAATCCAGAGTCCGTGTGCTCGTGCGAGACTCGCGCGCTCCCAATCAATTCCCCGCTTGAACTATTGCTATTACTGTTTGTGACTGGACTATAAGGGTTGTTATTTACTGGTGTAGTCACTGAGCCCTTGTACCCATTGTTTGAGAGGAAATCGTTGCCTGAACGAAGCGCTGGGTCATCGTAGCAAGGATAAATCCGCCTGGAACAATTTTTTTTATAAATGTTGAGAATTTTGACATAAATGATTGCGGGATTTGTTTTATATGTGCTATAAAATTAACTACTTAGTAGTCAGTTAGTTTAAACGTCTAGTCTAGAAAAATAATCATCAAAATATTATACAATCTACAACATTTCTACCGCAGCTAACAAAAAGAAACGTTTCTAAACAGAAATTAACGCACATATTTAACGCACGGTTTCATAGCAGTTTCTGATAAATTGCAATGAAAATACTCTGAGTATCTGTCATGTCTCATTAAATTTACGAGACTGTCTACAATGTTACCTTTTATAAAGTTTATTTTATATAAAATATTTGTTGGCTAAGACAAAGCCTTATCTTTGCTCATATTTAGAACTCTCGAGAGAACTTCATAACCTCGTACTGAAAATTTTCCATAAGACGGAAACTTTAAGGGTACGAGATGTTTGCTAATTATTGTTTACGCTTATTCGCACGATATCGCCAACGCAGAATAAAGTTAAAAAATTAATTATTTATTTACAGTGAATTTATTTTGTGTCCGCTAGCTATATCCAACAAAGTATGTAATGGAACAGTAGTTTTAGTTACGACAGCAGACAGTAATAAATAATTTGATATTATTTAAAGCAATCGTAGTCGCTATAAGTCGTAGATTTGTCTATGAAAAGAACATTTTACATCTCTTTTTTAAACATAAAACCTTGTTTCGGCTTTTTATAGCGCTCCCTAAATTCAGTGTTGTGCACTCAATCCATAGAAATAGCTCTTACTATCAGATATAACAGTATACACACTCATTTGGTGTATTTAAACGAAGGCACAGAACCGTAAGTCGTTCCAAGTTATCTTACAAGTTACAACAACGATAAAGTTGTATGTCATTAATGTCGTCAAAGATGAGTATCGTTTCAGAGGACAAAGCAATAAGAAGGGATAATAGGCAAAGTCGAACCTTCCATGTTTCTCGTTAGTCCTATGCGCGCTGAGAGTGCTCGAGACCGATCTGAGTGAGCCTTGATTGTGATTGTCGTGATCACTTTTGTGACCCTTCTCTCGCCTTGACAGAGATCCGTGCTCATTCCTGCGTAAAATAAATAAAAATAAATAATACAATTACTTTATTCTGATAGGTGATCGAGGGGCTAGTGCCGCAAGATTCAATATTGAAGAATGTATGAAATTTTTAACACTGGTTTTGATAATAGTACTAATGACAACTGTGGAAAAATAAAACAAATTGGATAGGAATTAGTCTAACTGCGAACAAGTTGCTCGTCACGAACTGGAAAAAATATTTTGCAGGCACGTAGGTAGGTAAAATATTATTAAATGAAAATTGTATGCCCAAAGCTCTTAATTCTTATTAAACGATATACACCCTGTATATGTCTCAAAAGGAAGTTCATATTTAGTTGATCGATTTAAAAAAAGTAAGTCGTGTATCAAAAAAGTATTCATTATTAAAGTACACATTTTGGGAAATTATTTCTTAAAAATAATATATTCGCGGCACTCATTTAGTCGAACAATAAAATTACTTATGACGGCTCGGCACGTGGACTCAGTGATGGCTGCCATTTCGTGACGGATATTTTCTTTCAATTGCGCCAGAGAAGTCGGCTTATTGGCGTAGACTTTAGATTTAAGATAACCCCATAAGAAAAAATCCATAGGGGTTAAATCATGACTGAGCCAATTTATGTCACCTCTCCTGGAGATCAATTTGCCTGAGAAAATTTCACGAACTCGTGGCAGAGACGTATTGGACGTGTGTGACGTTGCTCCGTCCTGCTGGAAACATGTTCTTTGGTTATAGCCAGGAAAGTTTTGAAGTTTAGGCACCAAGAAGTCGTCTAACAATTTCACATAACGCTAAATAAATAAATGTAAACTTTCTTTTGAGACACCTGTTATATATACTTTTTGTGAGAACTCCAACTTACATTATAAATGCTAAAGTTTGGTGGAAATTTGTTATTGATCTCGCCGCCTCAAATTTAATGTGGATGAAATTTTACACAGATTAATATAGTGTGAAATAGTTATAATTGTTATACAATATAACAGTTAATACGTGAGTGTGATAATTAAGCGTAATATGTAACATTTTCGTGCATAATTTAGTACTTCGGGTATGTTCTTGAAATATCTTGAAAAATATTCTAAAATCTAATAAAAATAACTGTAGAGTTTATATCTCGTGTAATTTTCTTCTTAGATATTAGTAAAGAATAAATTGGTCAAAAATTTTAAAAGGTTAGTAAAGTACCATTCCAATGGCGAAAGAATTTTTTAAATCGTTCCAATAGTTTTTGAGATTGTTTTTTGTATAGTTAGTAGTAGTAAGAGTAAATACTTACCACATTGAGGTGATTTGCCGTAATGGCTAATATATATAGTAAGTTCTATTTTACAGTTTTTAATTAAATAAGTAAATAAGTAGTAAATATGGATGACTTACTGCTTATGCTTAGAGGTAGTCCGAAGTTTAGTGTGACGAGCGTGGCTGGTCTGAACAACTGTGTACGGTATCTCTTTTAACTGCTCTTCAGTCATACCCGTAGTATCCACAAGGGAAAACTCTAAGTGCTGTTTCAACTCAGTCGGCAGCCATTTTTTTTCGGTTGGCGAACCGGACCGTGATCTACAGGGACATTAATACAATTAAGACACGATTTTTTTATCATTGAATCATTTTGTATAAAATTAGGTGGCTGAGGATGATGACCATACTTAACTGGTCTTTGAAGGAGCCGTGATTTAACCTATTTTAATTATTAAAAAGAAATATTAGAGTTTTAAGTATTTATTTGATCTCCTATTTATATAAAGTAATAAAATAAGCCATAAGCCAACTAAGTATTAGTTGATATTATTAAAAACAAACAGAAAATAAATCGATTGTAAGACTATTTTAGTTTTAACTATTTTAGTCAGAATTTCTTGTGTATTTTTGCTTTATAATTAACAAAACCTCGTCCGAATTTTTCAAATAAAAAGCGCTAAAGTATTTTTAAAATGGCTCTGTTAAACTCTAGGTTTACTGCTAACGGTTTGTGGCAAAGCTATCAAAGAGGTTAGGACGCGTGCCAAGTTGGTTCGGGTTAAAAGTTAAAATGATACCAGTTTGAACAAACTTCCCGAGCTAGATAAAGAGGGCCATTTTTTATAAAATATTTTTTATTAAAGCTTCTTTATTGTAAGTTTCTTACTCTATTTTAGTTGACAGAAGAAATATTTTTGTCTATAGTCTATATTAAATGAATTAGATTATAATATTTTTATAAATGCCGATGTTCGAGAATTTAATAAAAATATAAATATCCACGTTTCTGCTATTAATTCAGAAGGTTAATAACTCACGAAACCAAGTCATCCATATAGCCGACGCGTATTATGTATAGCTTTAGCCTTATTGCTATTTTTAATTATCAAGGCGGTTATTTTCATATAAAAATGGGATTGAATCATTACTTAAAATTTAGTCTTTATCTTTCCTGTTTCACTATAAAGTTACCCAAACGTAATAAAGAATAATATAATTGCATTGCATTTAACCATTTGAGACTTGTGTATGAGACTGTTAATATTTACCGATGTTTCCTGTGTCTTCGTGGTCTGTGCGATGATCGATGCGTTCCGATTTCCGGCTCCATTTGTGAACGACGGACGTTCGCAACCTGTGCAAATAAGTCTATGAATAAAAGTCAACTATGACTGTTGGCTTTTAAATTTCGGTAGCATATTCTGTGACAAATAGAAAAAATAGGGTATATTTGAATTTTGTTCGAATATCTATATGAAACAAACGTGACTCTGTTTCGTGTAAATGTATGTACCTAGCAACATTATCCAAACAAAAGTGCAATAGATAGCAATTAAAAAAAATAACGATACCAAAGTCTTTGCGTGTCTTATTTGTAATTATATTATTACAGCCAAAAAAATCATTATAATTATCGAATATCTCCTCTACACACAATCCTAAATAAAATATACTACGAAGCTTACGACTTATAAACAAATTAAATGACTAAACAGTCTCAAATAATTACCCATTTAATCCGACAATAACACTTAAAGCTGAGCACGAAATAAATAATAAAGATAATCTGCATCATAAAGTTAATTAAAAGGGCAATCAAGCAGTGCACTTACTTGCACTCCAGCACCCGCCGTCTGTCTTAATACTTCCTTCCATTGTGATTCCGAGTCGACTAGCTCGTACCCTCTGAAAGAAATTAAGCCATTAATAATCCGCAATGACCAGTTCTTTAAGATATAGATTGAAGTGCTTTAACAAATGAAGCGAATGGTACTTTAGTAGCCATTTTTATTCAAGATATGGCTTCCACGAATTTTCCAGTGTATTTTAGAAGCGTTTAGCTTGTCAAAGGTTTTTCATTTAATGAAAAATAATATGCATTGGCCAGTTCTTAAAGATATAGATTGAAGTGTTTCAACGAATGAAGCGAACGGTTCTAGTAGACATTTTTTACTTAGGATTTGACGACGATTTATATTTTATACGAGTTTCCTTATGCAAAGTTTTTATGGAGAATAGTATACACAAAGCGAGGAGTTGAAATTCACTTTTAAAAAACGAAGCGACGGTCAGGACTATGATTGCTCAGGGAACCCTGTCGACAATTTTCTAATCTAATTTTAAAAACATATTTGTTTGAGTCTTATCAGTGTAATATTCCAATTATCTATCTTATAGTTGGTTAACGCTTCTAAAATATTTATAAAAAAATCCGAAATTTCACACTGAATAGAAAATTTTTAAATTCTCTAAAACATTTTTCGTTGACGGCAGTATATTAAACTCGAAAGTTAGCGTTTGATTCCGGGTGAGAAAAATTGTTTTGAAAACACGAAAATCTGATTACGTAGTACTAAAGATTAGTGGGATGGTTTTTTCTCCATATCTAATTCGGCTGTTAAAGGACTTCTCTTAATATTGATTGCCTCATACTTTTAGAGATCATATTTCGCAACCACCTTATGGTTAAAATTACAAAAAGATTCACAATTTTATAATAATAAAGAAAGATATTGCTTGGAAAGGTTTTTAACGAGCATTTAGTGGATTTGACACTTCAACCGTTGTCGACCCGCGAAGAATAAAAATATTTTTCATATATTCTATTTACACCATTCATACATTTTTTTAGTTAAGGCTGAATTTAGTGTCACGCTGACCGCAAGCGCACCGTCGGCGCTGATGGTCGAGATATATGAACTTCTAGAGAGCGTTTTTGAATGACGCGTAGCTATAAGCGCGCATGGTGGTCAGCGCCGATGGCTGCGCGGCCGGTAGTGTCAGCGTGACGATGTATAGCGCCTCTGCTTTAGTGAGGCGTTGTAGTGTCGAACGGAGCGGACGTCGTCAGCGTGTACAGTCATGGCAAATTGCGGAGTGGATAAGGTGAGTTATGACGAGGTACGCCTGAGGAAGAAATTGTGGGATGCATCCGATCCACTCTACAAAAATAAAGATGCAAGAAACAAAGCCTGGGAGGACATTGTTGACACATTGTTCGAAAATATTTTAGGAGAGTCTCCTGCAACGGCTCTCTGCTCAATCAATGGATGAACATGGAGTCTTCATCGTCGCCGGTTATTATTATTTTTAATTATAATTATTATTTATTTTTTTGAGATAGATAGTACAAAGCAGCAATAACTAATACACTCCGCATTTCGGTTCGTCTGTAAGTAAGGCGGTCAGTACGATACTAAAACGAACCACGTGAGGCGTCAGCGCTGACGAACTACGCGCTGATCTATGAGCGCTGACGGTGAGCGTGAGACTAAATTCAGCCTAAGATTATTTGACAGCTAAACACGGTATAAACTACGCATATACTACCTATTCATAACTTTCGGACACTCATGTGATTATTAAAGTAATATTTACTGAATTCATTTTTTTAAAAATTGGAACCTTATGCCCGCTGTCCCCCCTATAATTTAATTATTTTTTATATAATTAAAGAACTTTGAGAAATACTCACTTGGATTCAGGTTGTGGTTCATCCCTCTCTGAAGCTGAGTCGTGCTTATGACGTGACCGGTGACGTCGATGTTTTCGCCCGGACCGGCCGGAGCCGCGCGACAATTCACTTTCCGCGTCTGATTGCTGACGCCGCGATCTATGTCTGTGTCTAGAGGTTTTTTTTATTTATCAATATTTTTACGAAAACCACTAAACGTCTCTATTGCATATTAATTCACGTTTATATCTGTTAAAAAATTTTTATTTAAATGTTTATTCAAATAAAACTTTAATAGTTTGATAATGTAATGACAATAATATTAATCAATATATCAGTTCTTCAGCATGTTCATATTCATCTACAATCCACATGCCTACAACCTTCTAAGAATTTTGGTTCTTGAAACGACTTTGGTTTGGTAATGAAATAAAAATAAAATATCGAGATTATTTTCTTAAAATAATTGTATAGAAAGCTAATTAACAAATTTTATGGCATTAAAATTCCGAAATTAATCTTACTAAAATATTGTGCTGTTAACATTTTCTTTATTGAATTAGAAATTGAAAAATATAAAAAGCTTTACGTTGGTTGAGTAAGTGATGTCTTACAATTAATAAATTCTAGTAAAGTTGTTTTGTTAAGTATCTAACAGTCGGATTATTTAGCGAAATCCACAGAAGCAGGCTTAGTACTGATCACCTACTCAATAATATAAGAAAAGAAATCAAATTTATCTGAAAGCGAAGTTTTAAAACTTGATTTAAAAAAAAACTTTTTAAGAAGAAACGTACTTCCGATTAGACCTGGAATCATTCGAGCTCTGCGAATCAACGGACGCAGATCTGTGTCTGGGTGCAGGCGGTGGTCTGTGGGCTGTTGGCGAAGCGGAATATAAACCACGACGCGCCGGTGCTGACCGCGTTGATCGCGGCGATCCACCCGTTGTATGTATGGGTTCACAGTTTGCTTCGCCGTTGATGCTATAAAATATACAACGCTAAGAAATTCTAATTTAATGTACTTGGGGTTGAGGTGTATAGTGTTTAGTTACGCTATTGAAATATATTAATAGATCTATTCCTAACAGGAATACTATAAGTTTGATGATTGATCCTGCATATGGGCAATTAAAAATTTTTTACAACTCGACGTTTGCAAAATAAAATAGTATTTTGAAAAGCCGGAATGGTAAACTTAAATTGATTTTATGACTTGTTAGTGTAACACTATGAATTTACAAGAGAAATATACATGTGCATGTACTGTCTCTATCATGGTATTAACGATAAATAAAATAAAACATGTATCAAAAATGTGTATAAAATGTTAGGTTTTCTCGCCAGCGTTTTTTAGTATTATCGTTTTAGTAGTTTATTGCAATCGATCAATGCTTGATTTCCCCTCTTAACTAAGAATAGAAAATTTTGTTTTAATAATATTCTCAAATAATGAAGTTGGCAAATGATTTTAATATAGGTACTTATTTATACCAGATGTTGCATTTATTTGTACAAATAAATTCAAAAGCCTATGTGTAATTTAGTAGTGAAACCCTATGTAGATAGATTATACCAGAGTAGTACTATTGTTTATTCTGAACTCTCGACAAGGTTTTAACCAAGAATATTTAAACAATACATCCGATTTCCAATTAGTCATAATAAATAAAATGTTGTCAATAAAATATATGTATTTTTATACACTTGACATACTACCATGAAAATGCAGTCGAAGTTTGTAAAAAGGCTTCAGTTTAATACAGTATCCAGGTGCTCGTATGTTCCGAATGAATGCGAGTTCGCTTCAAATGAAAAGTGCCACTTAACTAACGTAGAAGGCAATTTTTAAACCCAATATTGATGTCCGGTGGCTTGTTGCCTACTCTATCAGACTGACAAAAACAAAAATGTTGATTTCCTTCAGTTTCCCTATTCCTCACTATTTATTCTGATAACGTTACGTTTTTAAACAACAAAAGATTTTTATAGAAATTAAATAAGTTATCAACACAAATTTATTTGTTTTGATTATATTATAAAATATTTCAACATCTTGAGTTTCGAGCGGCTTCCATAAATCTAGGAGTCTAGCTATTTTATTTTTTCATCGCAAGGATAGCGACTACCAATTCAAGCTTAAATAAAAATTACATAATGTATAGTATGTTATTAAGATCTCGAGACGGATTCTGTTATTATTAGTCTTTATCAAATTATTAGGTTAGTTAATCTAATCTTAATCGACTATGTGTTTTATTTTGCGCCATGTTTACTGATAACTAAGCGTTTCTTATTTTACTAATTGATACAATATGTCGAGTAAAGTATTGTGTAATGGTTACAGTTCTTTATAATTTCTTTGTAAACAGAAAACTTGGATTAAAAAGAAGAGTATCATCTTGCCTGTTAACCTAGCAAGTACGCCCTTTATTTGGGAACTGGTAGTAAATGTAAATTTAGAACCATAATTTTGTAATGACGTTCATAAGTGTAAATTACCTATATGAATAAATGAAATATGATTTACCTTGAGCACTTTATGACAATCCTGTAGTAGCATACAATTCAAGAAAATTATAGTAAATTAAAGACGCAGCAAAAATAGCATGATCAAAGATGTAAGGAAATTAAAAAAAAATTAGCTAAATTAATTTGAATACTTACGAGTTGGGACGATGCACTGAGGTAGGTTGTTTCATTTCAGGGGGGCAATCTTTTATTCTTAAGTCTTCTAACTTTGGAACTGAAAAGGTTTAGGCTCCAATTAATATACAATTTCATATATGAAATATTGAATGTGTTTTTGCGTTGACCCTTACACTATGGAGATTTATTCGTTGTCAAGATTTATTAACTTGTTTTTGTGTTTAAGACGCTTGATAAATGTTTCATACTAGATTCTAAATGTAAAATAGCGTGAAAGAACAAACAAATGTTTATTTTTCTAGAAAATTATATTTTCTCGTGTAAGAATGTCAATAGAAGTGCTGCTGTTAGCTTAGAAGACTTATCAATACAACGAACAAATTTATTGCGTATTCTGTTAAGCTTTTTATCGTTTTATTAAAGTGTTTTTGTAATATACATTTTATTTAAAGTATCGTTTCTTACAAGTCGGTGTTATTGACGTAATTCTTATTATTATATTAATACATTACCTATAACCATGCAGGCTGAATCAAAAAATTATACATTATTTTCGTAGCACAATTATTCTATGTCTTAGGATAAGTTTAGTATGTATTATTAGTAATCCAACTAGGATTAATAATAGGTGCTCCTATTCTTAATCCTAGTAATATATCCGTCTTATCCTTTCAGTTATTAATTCGTTTATAACAAAGGCTGAAATTTAGATAACTCTCAAGACACGTTCGACGATCACTAGAAATGATTTGTATTTTTATATTTGTCACAAATAAACTCAAAAACTACCGGACCAATTCCAAATTCAATTAATTTATTCCATTTATAGTATTTATGTATGACTTATTTTATTCATATTTTTAATAGAAATATTCTTACTGTCATGTAGAGATGTATATGAAGCATGCCGTATGTATCGCCTGGAGGGAGTCCGCGTGAAGTTAGGCGGTGGTCGGGGCCGAGCTCCGCGCCCGCTACTACAAAGATAAGCTTGTTGAAAACCAGTAAACATCGTTTGCCTTATAATTCGGTTTTGTTCCTCTAGCCTATGTATAATAGGATATTTAAAAGGAGGCCATAGCTATTTTCCTGTATGAGAAGTATTACGTTAAGTCGATTGGAAAACTGAGGAATACATATTGAGCGATAATGAATAAGCGTTTTCGTCGAACTTCTAAACTTGCATCTATACATTTTTTTACTTTATATCGGTGTAAACACTTGCTTTTTGAAATCTGCATGTCTTTGGTACAAGGAACGCGTCACACACAAAAGTCTGACCACCTACTTGTGAAAAGATTATTAATGTCACAGGCGCAGAAATGTCTCCTCCATCGACATTTCACACAACTAGCCCTGAGTTGTGAAAACGTGAGTAAAACAAACCCCTTCAGTCATAAATAAAAGTTGATATATACAGAAGATTCCATAAGATTTACCATCTCAATTTTTAGTATTAAAATACGAACAACTTTTATGAATAAAAAAATTAGTTTAAGTAGAAATCTTCAAACAATAAATATATGTGAAATAAAATCAGTCTGCGTTATGTCTGAAAAATAAAGTTTGCTATTGCATAAGCTAACAAAGCTTCTGATTTTATCAAAATACATTAAACCATTTTGACACGACAAATTTTTTTATTTACATTTTAATGTTTATGATTATTAAAAAAAAGTTATGTATTTAAATAATATAATACCTATTTCTCAATCTAGATCCCAATGTGAATATATCCGCGGATGCCGGCGACGATTGTTGAAGGCGGAAGAAGTTATGGTGATCAGAACAACAACGCCATAAGTGCCTGCATGCTGCTCTCGTGGGAGATTCGAAACCGTAGGTAGATGTGTCATTCTAGAACCAAAACGATTTAAAACTATTCTGTTACACTATGGCGTTCGTTAATTGTAATACTAGAAAAAAGAAGGAAACGCAGAGAAATGCCATAATAGGCTATGTAAGGTCATTGTCATTTCGACGATGTCATTTCAGTTTGATCATACGTTTATTTTTTCGGCTTATAGTCATCGTCTAATCCAAATTTCAGGCATTTAGAATTTATTTCAGAATTTAAATAACTAAAAGAAAATACAACGCTCATAAAAAGTCTCGTATCATTACAATTTTAATAGATAAATTTAAAGAGCGACGACGATTTTATAAATAAAATTCTCCAGCTTTGATCAATGTTCTGTCAGAGAATAAATTTAAAAGCAATTTCAAGTTCATTCCCCTATTTTTATACACTTCAAAGGCGTATACAAATAAGGGTGGGTTATCACTTCACTCGACAGTGCGGTAAATGGCACGCTTAGTTCTCTGACTTATCTGTAATTGCCTGCTACGAATGTCTTAAGAAAACGTAGGCCACGTCTTTTGACTGACGTCTTATCAGATAGAGAAACGGGTCAAGCTTTCAATTCACACAATGTTTATTTTACCAAATCTACTATTGACGTGTTACGCCAGATTTAAGTACTTTCTGACATTAATCATATAAAAATCTCGAAGAAATTTCTTTATGTTGTAATAATAAAATAAGTCTATATTTCTTATGGAAAATCGCTGCAATGCTTGCTCATTAATTAGTGCAGAATTCGGCATAGTTATAAACTGTTCTGTATCTATGTATCATAGAACAAAGTTATGTTTCTGGACAGCTTAGTTACACTATAGGACCCTGAAGTATTTAATATAGCAGATAATATATACTTGTAATTAATGCAATATCTCACTCACGTTTTTGTCAGCGACGCGTATCATAAAGTATCGTCCTTTGTAGTAAAGTTTGGAAACTCGCGGCCAATAATAAGTGGCAACTGTATGCTTTCCTCGTAGAAGCAACAGGCCACTTGGCGCCAGTCCCAAAAAGTACTCCACGCTGTCTTCGCCCTGCATTAAATAGATCGTTAAAAGAATAACAGTGTTGAAATATGGTGGCAGAAAGCCATTTTTGTGAACTAATATTACGAGTCATTAAATACCCCATTCCTTATTTAAACAGACATTGATGTTTTTAATTTAAATTATATAAATTCGATTTTCAAAGTAAAATCGATGGCGCCAAAGACTCCGGGAACAGACAATTTATCTTCAAGGAGAATATGAAATATATTTACCAAGACAGGGTGGAGATCAACACCGTACATGTCTAGCCATTTCACTTTGTCCAAATAGCTTAGTTCAGCCTGCGCGGGGGAAATACCACTGTAAAAATCGCATACATTTTAATTGTTGCTTAAGTATAAATTATGACAACTAACTTAATATTTATAAAAAAAAAATATTATAATAATTTGACACATCCAGACTACGCACTGTTGCTTATTAATTGGTAAGCAGAAACATATTTCTCTTTAAAAAAAAAACTTGGATATATTGCACTACGGACTTTGCTTGTTGGATATGCTTTAACAGCATCATTACTTATACAATATTTTTTCGTAGCTTACTTAGCTACTTATACAACAGTTTACTTAGACCTCACCTTCTCTATAGGAGTTACATATTAATATCTCTCAATTTTTACCAAGTTTAACTAATTATAAACTAGATATGGGTGGTGCAACGTAAATTCAGCACACATTTGTGTCGTAATTTAAAATAACAAACCATTTATCAAGAAATGCATTGGGTGGCGCATTTAAACGATAGATAAACGCAATTTGCATGTAATTGTGGCTTTGCGATGCCAAATGCTTGCCGCGAGGCGGCATGGCGGATGCAGCTATGCTGGTCTTTTTTACTAATAAATCTAGTTATAATATGAAAATTTAGAATTTATCGATACTCTTTTATTATGTTTGCAAATGACGTTATGAACTGTTATTCCATTTACATTTATTGTACAAACAATAATTTTGAACTCTTTTTTATTTATTTATTTATAAGTAATCCAACAGCTACTACACATATAAACATTATAAACAAACACTTAGACAATATACAACACAATTACAATGTTAAACGAATTATACGAAATAGAAGAGATTTTGTATCGCAGACGTCTAATTTTCAATATTTATAAACTTACTTCAGTGTCCTATGTATGTCGGCAGCTCGTCCTTCAAGTTCAGGGGTTTGATGCGCTAAGAATCGGAACTCGGAAACATACCCTGGACCATGTCTTCTTGGCTCATAATCTCCTAGTTCAGCTGTAATCAAAATAATAATCGTTTAAATATGCTGAAAAATTCCAACGTCTTAGCGTAAGGGATAGGCATCCATATCGTTTAAAAATCAGATTATCGTTAAATGTGGATTCCCAAAGGATTTAGATATATTAAAAAAATATCTTTTAAAGAACAAAACACTGACCACATCAATAGGTCGCTATATTAATGCATTTTTCTGATTCAGAATAGCAAATCCATTATGAAATAGGTAATCTCTTAAAGTAGTAGTACTGTCATTATTCAAAGAGCTGGCTTGACGTATCTGTATTTAGGCCATGTGGAATAAGCCTCATCTCTAATGTGGACAATGCGAAGGTTATATGGTAGGTTCATACATTCGTGTGTACAATGACAACTTTAATCCCCTATACTAAAACCGTTTAAAGCTCAAGTTGTAAATATATTTAATGCATGTGATTTTATTCTAATGGAGTAATTAAATGATGATTCGTGGGTAATAAAACCAGGAATAATAAAACAACTTAATTAATAAGTAATACACGACGTTACGAATTCAGCTCTAAATTGTACTATTAGGTTAAATTAGTAAAGAAAGAATCATTTTTTATAGTTTCAACACTCAGAGACGTCTGTAAAAGATCAGGATTTACGAATGTTCTTCGTAACCTGAATCAAAACTAAGTCGTATGTTTGATTATACGAGTATCACTATAACGAACCGTACTAAATCGTAATTAATTTACTTAAGTAGGGAGAATTGCCGTCCTAAATAAATACACACAATGTAATCTTATCCCAGACGATATAAGAAGCTTAATAGTGAAAGCTAACGTGTTGTATTTTCTCGATACTATAGGGAAGTGGATCACTAAGCTACTTGTGAGGGAAAACGGCGGATGTAAAGAGAAAAGAACTGCCATGTTTGGGAGACTAGAAAAAACTAAGGGCGTGAGTGATGCTGACACTTATTTCCCGTCGTTTATCTTTTTTTTCAGCTTCGGAAGTCGCATCTGGTGAATTTGTGAAAAAGATTCTTCCGTAACTTATGACGTTACAAATTATTTTTGATACGATACGTTTTCACATTCGTGGGGAATTTGTACCTACATAAAAAGTGTGTGTATATATTTTTCTTAATCATTACGGCGATTTCGTTAATAAGACTTAACCACTTAATCCACCTATAAACGAACTTAACTTAGACTTGAATATTAAGTTGCTATTATCTATAATAAACAACATGACTTTCTATATTAATTATCCCAAAAAAACTTTGACATTTTAAGAATGTGAGAGAATAAAGTAGGTTATTTTTATCGCAATATTTAAGATGTAACTTGTTTTATTACGGGGTGGACGGGGAACATAAATTTAAAGCGACTATATTTAAACACTCGTGCAACCGCTTACACTCTTAATGTAGAACAATACAAATTCGACATTTCATTTTATTCTCTCATTCTCACTTCAATTTCTTAAAATTTGAAAGACTGTAATTGTGTGAGCTTAATACCTATAACTACGATTCCACATCGGTCCCGTAACGTAAATATAAGAATGTTACAAAAATGCTGTTTACCGTGGCTAATTAACTAATAGCTAGTTTTTATACATGTATACTTCTTTACCGTCAAATTAACGGCGTTTCTTGTTACTTATACAATAATTATGTGTTCTTAACATTTATTTAAATACCATCCTAAGAACATATGTTATTTTGTATATTTTATACTCAAAACTTTTAACGCTTTTACGCTCGATTGAATGTTCTTTCAACAACCATCGCATGGTGTCATTTACTTAAATATCTGCGCAATTGCGCGTGATGTTGATTAATTTGAACTGTTACGAAAAGGCCATTGTCTACAATAATTACCAAACTGAGAACAACGTCTGGAACAGGTCGCTTAGATCGATGTTCCCTGACAAATAGCACTTTGTTGTTTTATATTATGGTGTAATGCTTGTGGAAAAATCGATACGGCTTAAGCTACATAGGGTAGAACTTCGACCGAATAATACTTAGTAAATTTGTAGCAAAACCTGCGATGACGTCATACCCTGAAAGCCAATTACAAAGTTATTCCGACTCGTAAGGTTATATAAAACTTCTTGACCTAAGCTACTAGGCTAGCTAAAGTTATTGCGTTGTATGTGCGAGCGAGAACATGAGCGAATCACGTGTTGGGTGCAACCCTACTTTAAAGACTTGTAAGGCGATGTCAATGTTCTGGAAGATGGTTGCTGTAGCAGCCTGTTACGGGGTCTCTTGGTAGAATGCTTACGCGACCCCAAGTTGATGTGATTGATGGCAGGGGTATAGTGGGTAGTGCTTTTAGAGCGAGTCCCACGCTCTGTGCGGAAACGCATTCCCCTCAAAATAAAAAAGGGTAGCTAAAGTAGCCTTCGAGCCGGTCAGTCAGTGGTTTTACTGGTCGAGGATTCTGCCCTCGGAGGAAGAGGAGCACCTTCCTTCCTCCACATTTGTACATTGGTGACCCCAACGTGATTTATCAGCCTTCATAATTATTCGTTCTCATTTTGCATATAAAGAGTAGCAAAACCACTTAGGGTTATATTAAGTTTTAAGGCGCATTTAATATTAACGTTCCTTTAACTTATAAGGTTCTTTTAATGAGATAGTTATTTGTTTTTTTAACTATACCCTAGATACAACAAACAAAGTTTATAAAAAATTCAGTAATAATTTTATCACAGCATCAGATTACCACTATAAATCTATTATAAAAAGAGTATAATAATGATAATGGGTAGTAAAAATAATTAAAATAGTATAATTATTGCAGTAACATAGAACGTTGCACTTACAAAGTAGTTTAGGGTGGGGTCGTATCTCTTGGGAGCTGAAGCTGGGACATTTGCTGATGCGAATGAGATTAGATGCAAACGATGTACGCTGAGGGCTCGTTTACCTTTTGAATAACCCATTCCTATTACGCTGTCGCTTGGCTTAATAGCAACATATAGACAACGTTATAAAACTTAATCTAAAAAGTCTATTTGAATTTTAGAAATATAATACGAAATGAAATTGAAAAAGAAATCAAAATGTACCAAAAATTGCTATTTTCTTTGACATTAATATTATTAATTAATTAGACAAAGATCAAGAAAACATAAAATTTATCTTACAAAACAATATAGGGAGAGATTTAATTATGCTCCCGTATAATTCATACATAAATATTAATGGAAATATTCGAGTCAAGACGTAATTAACTGTCTTCTGGTACCATCAAAGGTCTTTGTTAATAAACAGAGCAAGTAAAAAGTAAGTTAGCATTGCTTATGTTAAGTTGAAATAAATAAATTATTAATATTATGAAAGCCACATAGACAATTCAAATAGTATGGGTAAGTGATCCTCATTGTTATTTATATATTACCTCTTTAGCCCTTATTATATAAAAATATATTGTTATTTTATACTACCTCTACGCCCTTATTATATAGAACCTGGATTAAAGTTAGTACGGTATTTGTTGCCATGGTTACCATTCGTTATTAGGAAATAACATCGTAACCATGGTAACAAAGAGGGTACTAACTTTAATCCACGTTTTATATTAAGGCCGTTGAGGCAGCTAACGTTTTTTTCAAACCGAGAGTTTTTCATATTTTGTTGCGTTTAATAAAAGCAATTTGAGCATCTAAAATATGTACATAAAAGTAACAGCTATACTAACTTTAGGTCGAAGTTTTTTTTAATTATATAATAATAAGAATATTATTAATTATTATTAAATTATTATTTATTATTAAGTTCGCCGGGTCAGCTAGTATCATAATAAAACATAAACCAATAAACGTGGTACAAACTACAAACTTAATTCCCATTTCCCGCGTATTCCACATTTTTGTTTTTGTTCGTACCGCATTTGACAACTGAACACTGGTGTGGTCGTGATACCTATTTTCAGCCAGTTATTTTACTTTTATAAAATGTATTTAATAAGTATAATTTTTTTATAACTAAATTGATTTTGTTATATTAATTATAAAATTATTTTACTTACATGTAATAATGATACTTATTATAGTAACTATTGTCTATGGTAAAATACAGGCTATATATATATAGGAAAATAACTGAGAATGACTAAAGAACAGACAGTTAAGTTTAGCCATTTTAATTATTTCAAGGCACTACCGCGGCCGGCGCAATGAATTACGTAGAAATAAGCATTCTGTCTTATCGCAATATGCAGCGAGGGAAAACATTTCTAACAAACAGCGTCCGTCAGAAGCATCGAACGAGTTTCAATAGTATTCGCCTAACAAAAGGTTTCATTGAACTCATAATGAGACAATTTTATAGAGAAAATCAATATTTTTGTTAATTCAAATTCCGGTAATTTTACTTTTGATGGCTAATTTAATACTGTGTGGTTTTAAATAGCGTATATTTGTGTTCTTTCATATATTCTGCGATATTTAAAACTGTTCTGTGTAGTTTATATACTTTCTTGTCATGTACTTGTATGGAAATTGTATTTCTTAATTTAATTTAGTACACTCATACTGTACAAATGAGAATTATACAGAATTCAATTGATTTGAATATGTAAAATTAAATTGAAAATAGAATAAATAAGAGAATTAAATGTTCGATAATTTTATTCCAAATTAAATTAAATTTTCTGATTTCAGACATAATGTTTTTATTAATTGTATTTATTTGTTGTAAATAGCGTAAGCTAATCAAATAAAATTCTGTTTTTAGCAACGCATTTCCTTATACGACAATTTCCTATTTATTCTAATATAAATTGTCTTATACTGTTTTGTACGAATAAGCTAGCAAATTTTACAGTCCCAAAACCATAACGCAAAATGCTTGTGAACAAAGTTTAGTTTGTTGAGCCTAGTTCTCAGAGCGGGGTTTGTAAAAACATTCGGGGTTTGACAGGAATAGCTTACACAAGAGACTGTCGTCTGCCAGTCACGATATTTTTGCGGACTTTGTTGATTTTAAATATGCCAATTGAATAAGAAGTAAAACAAATTTCGCGTTCAGGACAGACCTTAACAGATGTGTGTTAAAAAATGCCGCTTTAGCATTTAACCTTTAATTATTATTACTTTAAGGCCTCCTGTACTCCTTCGTCACTTCTAGGCCATGACCAAGGTCGCCAGGCGTTACTTATTTTATTTTTAGTCAAATATACGAAGTATTACTATGTAATTTGAATAAAGCGTTTAAGCCTATGCTTAGAGTAGTAAGTATATACTAACAGTACTATATCTCGTAAACCTTCCTTTTTAAAATATAAGTAACCTCTGGCCGCTCAGGAATCTTGCTCAGTTAAAAGTTATACAGTTTATACTTTGTTAGCTGATTTCGCTATATAATTTATAGCATAATATGACTACAACCCAGTTAATTCAATGCCCTAAAATTAGCTAAGAGATCTATTAGCAATATTATTTAATTATTACTTATATTGTAGCGACTTGTTATGGCGTTTTTACATACACTTTTTTGTACAACAATTTTAAGTTACCAGTATCACTTTAACTTTTTTGATTTTCAATTTATTATCACCTGCCTGTGTTGAGAATAAGTGTGCCCACGGGAAATTAAGGGTATTACTTTTTATTGTGTACTGGATTGTCAAAACAATTTTCCCTTTTTAAATTGTTCTTACCCCATTACCTGTTATTTGTTACATACGTTTGGCGTTAGGCCAACTGACAATGCTTTCATCCACAGCCTATTACAATAGGAACTGCTTAATATGCTCCTCAAGTTATCACCACCGTAAAATATCTGTACTTATACCTGACAGATTGTTATCGGAGTGACTACGTGGGACCTATGTAGGGACTATGAATAAAGGGTCATAAATAGAATATCGATATAAAATTATAAGTTTGTACTTCATGTGATTTTAAACCTGAATAACATAATTATAATTGAAGTGCTCATAACTGTGATAGCGTAAATGGTTAAGCGAGATCACGCGTAAGGACTCCAAAAAACTCATACCTAACTGGTTAGCGTAGATTCGAGGGTACCTACTAGCCTTCAAGTCTTGTTGATTCATATATGAATTAAATAAATATAAAATAGACTTATAGCCCAAAGGTAGTTTTCAATAGATGAGTCCGAAAATATATTTATTAATCGGTTTGAAAGTATTTCATACATATTAATAGTTTAAGTTTTGCATTAATTTACATTAATTACGGTTATTTGAAAGTTTATATATTATGATTCAATCAAGTTTTGATGTTTTATGTAAATTTGTTCGTGATTATCAAATAGATTAATATTATTGAGACATTCAATAGATATATTTTATCTTCTACGTTTACATATCGAAATGTAACTGTTATGTTTGATAAAAATATTAGGTATATTTATTTTGACTATGTGTCATTTCCATTAACTTTCCTTTAACATTTCTTAAATATTTTTTTGTATTTTTAATTAAAATATCTAATTGTCTGTTTAACAATCTGCCCAGACTAAAAAAATAAGAATAATTATTTTTTCTTTAACAAAGGATTATATCTTTAGACAAGTTTCCATTGCACTTTATCAAAAATGTATTAGTATCACTAGTTATCGTTACGCAGTATAATTTTCGTGACTTGAAATCAAAAATAATAAGATACTTACATTGCAAGACATAGGCTGCAAGCTCAGCCGCGAGGTCAAAATTGACAGGCAGCCGGCCACGCAGAACATCTTGCTTTAGTTGCAGAAACAACTGGTACCTGGAAACAACGAATTCCTTTTTCATCTATTTATACAATCCCCCTTCCCATGCTTCAATGACCAGCGCAACCACCTTGACATCACGGAGACACAAAAGAACAAAGCCTTTGAGCTAGTGTAATCTTGCCATAAGTATAGTGTTGAGTGGATACTGTGGATAAGTGCCAGTGTACATTGTGACATTGTAGATAATAGTTTAAGAATTCTAATGAGTAGTTAAGAGTATTAAATTTTAATAGAAAAACCAGTGGCACTACAACATTTTAGGTCCTAAACAAAAACTGAGACTGATCTCAGATTTTTTTTCGTGATCATTTGTCTTTTCAAAGGCATATTCATATTTAATAGGCAAGTAAGTGATCAAGTGCCAATTTGAGCATTATAGTAATAATAATTAAATATGATACAAATGGAAAACGAAAATAAATTGATTAAGCAGTGTAGCTTTAATGCTGGCAGTATTTTCTCGCTGTATTGCAATACCTATTCGTTGAGCGAGGAAAGCACCGGCTCTGGTCACCGGTACTACCAGGCGCTTAAATCTTTAATAGAGCGCTAGGTTTGGCGCTAAGATATAGTTTAAAATTAGTTGAGATGTAATAATAAATACTAAAGTGGCGCAAAAAGTAAAAGTATTTACATTTATAACATTTGAAATGTTGCCTAATTAAAGCAGTCGTGTTCTTTATGGTAAATTACATGTTTCAGCTTGCAATTATTGTATACCTACAATGTTTACACTCATTTGCAAGCTACAGTAAAGGCAAGCTACAGTAGTTACAATAAAGGCTAATTAAATTAATATCAATGGTACCAGAATATGCTCTGAGTAAAGACTGAGCTAAAACGTCTAAAATAGTCCAGAAATTAATATGAAAAACTACGGTTTTACTTTGTAATAAATAAAAATCTAAAAGTTAAGTACAATATATAATATAGACGTGTTAATAGGTTGTATTATAAGTCAAACAACATAAATTACTCTACACTCTCACGGAATCGGGTTCTATATTATAAATCAAATTTGTGGCTATCTTCAATAATAGAACGATTATTCGTATAGTCTATATAGAATGATTTGTAGATACTTATAAGAAAGATAACGACAATATTTTTTGACAGAGTTTTCGATCTGACAGAATATTTTAAGAGATACGAAACCATTAATATTTCTTCAGCCAAAGTAGTCTTAATGAAAGCGTCGTTGAGCGCCCTTAGAAGGAAATTAAATATTAAAAGACCATCAAGTTAAGATTTTCAAAGATATTAAATTGCGGCTTTATTTAACTTAAGGGTAGACAGTTTTTGTGGAGGCCTGACATGGCTTAGCGCATGTCAGCGAAATAATAAAACAACTACATCGGTATTTTAAAAATTCCCCTTGAATTTCTTTAACTCTTATAACAAAGTAAATGGAGACATAATTTGCATATATAAGGAAGCCCCCATCCAATTAAAATTGTTTATGAAAGACGTAGGACTATTATATTGAATGTAGCTAAGTTCCAAGTACTCTAATGCTGGCCTTCTCTATTCAACTATTCATTTTATCATAGTAACGTGTTTACGACCTCACCGGGCTTACTGAGAGCGCTCTTAGGATTTCTTTGTTACTTCCCCCTATTTTAACTTCATGTTATATCACATTTTGTCTTATTTATTAAGTAAGTAAACACCAAAATAAAAATTCATAATAAACTAAAGAGTTAAAAATACAATTCAAAAAAAAAGAAACTATTTTTTTATACCTTGTACATATATATAATTATATCAAACCGTGACATTAAATTGTGTTTACCACTTATAACTATACTGGGACAGATTTTAATAGGAAGCTTAAAAAATACAATAGTAAAAACAATTTTTTATACGGAGACAAAAAATACGAAGCACGAAAATATTTGTATTTTGTTTGATAAATCATACTATTTTCAATTTGACTAAACTTTTAAAATGTGTATACAGCAATAATTACACGTGTTTAATGTATTGAGAGGTTATTTTCTTAATAGAGCTTTTTTTTAAAGATACGATGCTCTAAAATTGAAGTTTATATAATATGTTTATGCAATTAAAGCACTTCTGTATTAACATATACTTTAAGTCAATCCAGTTCTCACAATAAACCTTCGAAGTAAAAACTTTAATAAAGGGGCTGTAACTTAAAAATTTACTTCGACCTGACAAAGGGAGAAAGTGCTTTGTAAACGCGAATAAGATTTTACTAACTTTCAAGACATCTTCTGTGAGGGGTTGATAGTCTTACTAAAGAACATCGTTCACAAACTTTGTTTATTTCTTATTATTTTAATTAACGATGTCTGCGACGACGCTGAAATTAGATGTACAAAATCATTAGAAAATTTGTAAAGTAGGTAATTTTAACTAATAATAATTCACGCATTTGGCTTAGGTCCGTTAGCTCAACATTGAACATGAAATATACCGGTATCATTTGAAAACAAAAACAAATTTTTATTTGATTGTGTTTTTATAATTTTTAGCTAAACCTGTGCGGAAAAATACTTGCTGCTTTTACTATGTAATTAAAATATATAATAGTAAATCAAAGTTCATCGTGACAAGTGGCATGTGTTAAGAACTGTTTAAGTTATTGACCGAGAAGTTGACGTTTCTCAAGTTGAAAGTCGAATAAATAATCTGTGTTTAAGAGTTTTCTTAGGTTTTAGTTCGTCAAATATTATTTATATATAAAATACCGACCATTAGCATTAAATTTTGTAATACAATATCGAATAAAAGCCTCTGTCGAGCCTTACAACTCAGTAAAAACGCGAGTCGTTCGTTTAAAAATACAAAAAACTTTTGTGTATTTTATATGTACCACGGAGGGATTTTATTACACAGGTCTCGGACAGTAACGGACAGAGCGAGCACTTACTAGCCATAACTGTTACAGTTTCAAGGGTAGTATACTGCTGAGTGGACAGTTACACGTACAGGGCACATGTGTTTTATTATCACTTATAGCCGCAACCCATGCTTTTCGTCTTTCCAAAATAACATTGATAAAGTTTTCTTTATAGTATTCTTAACAAAAATATCATCAAGATACTTTAGATCTTTGAAGACAAAATACATGTTACGGGAGTTACCGCCTTTACCACGATTTTGGGTTGTGCATTATTTATTAAGCATTTATTCCGACAGAAGTATATATTTTAAGTTGGATGACAACAATATACATATAATTTATAACTCGATTGCATTTTTTAATAATTATGCTTCATAATTTTACCTTGTAACGAAGATTGTAAAGTTGTAAAAAGTTTTTACATTTTAATGAAAAATTTAAAACATTGAAAAACTTGGACTCTTAAACCTTTTGCAGTACTTAATCTGAAGTCCTTCATAAGTCACAACCGTGGAAATGTCGTTAGGTAAGATGTTTCATATAAAAATAAATATTAATTAACTCCGTAAAATTACGAGAGACACTTAAGACGACGAATAACCGTACATTTCTTATATCTTGCTCATACATACTAGTATTATATAGCAGTTATGTTCTGTGTTTGTCTTCTATTCAATTTTTTATTTTTTACGTCTTAGTTGTCTGGTAGAAACTGCTTTTAGCAGTAAGACCGCCTGTCTCATCCATTGTCATTATTATAATTATTGTATTCTGATATAATTTTCCACATACATATTGGCAATTAAAATTGGCAGGGTATTTTGTCAGTTCTTCTCGTCCGTCCCACTCCCTTAATATCAATGGGCGGTTATGGTATCTTCTATTACTAACAATTAGATACATAGATAAATTATTCAGTTGAATTTATATAAGGACGCTGTCGCAAATGACATCATACATCAATACATCTAATTATTTATATTAATGTATAAATATTATAATATGCATGGTCATGGCGCATGACCTTTGCGTAGATATGTATAAGTTCGATATATACCTCGTTATCTCCTCTAAGAGTTTGCATGGATCCGTTGCATAGAACTTGACTCCGAAGTAGAAAGTGTGAGTATCCGACCCACGCAGTTGACGCCGAAGTCGTTTTCCAGCATCCAGCCAGTGCTAAAAAAATTACTAATTAACTAATATAATGCACCCATAACTTAAAATGTTTATAAATACGTACGTACGAGAATCGATATTAATAAATCGTAATAAGTACAAAAATAATATATACTTGATCAGTTCATCGTATTCACAAGTCATGAGGGTAGAATTACAATAAATTACTTAAAGTATTTTATAGGCAAAAAATATTTTTAGAGAATGGACAATAACTTAAAATTTTCAAATGCATCTATCCTAATACCATAAAAAAGAATGATTTGTCATCATGTGTTTGCAACGGTTAAATAAAAAAAGTATTGGTTTCGAAAGTTATTATACCATGCTTTATTAGCCGAACTAACATAGGCTATTTAATTCCAAAATTTACTAGCCGGCTTTGCACGGCTGGATATTTATGTAATAATTAGACATATGGTATCGCTGATTTTTTTGTACATGTGATGTACATACATCAGTTTGCTCTATTCTCAAAATTTTCCGCAGCGTACGCGATGCGATATATAGGTATTTTCAATGGCATTTTATTGGGTGTGAAAAAAATATGTTTTCATACAGATATCTAATTTTTTTTAAAGTGTTCTATAACCTATATTCATTAGGGATAATGTAGGATCCTAATGGTGAAATAATTTTTTAAATCAGTCAGTTTTGTAGCTAATTCAATGCAAACAAACAATCAAATGTCTGGTAGTATTATACTGGTAGTAAAATTATAAACAAGATGTTTAAAACAAGCTTACTGTTTGGTTATCTTGGTCAACGTAGCGAAGTCCGAAATAAGCCGTCTCCAAAAGGTCGAGATGTCTAAAGACAACATCCAACAACGCTTGGCCCGTACTATTGTCCTGAAAACAAAACCAGTATTAGTATCATTTTATAGAAACTGTTTGCCGAGCACAAACAATCGCTTTGAAGAAACTTTTGAAGGAAAAAGATGTGTTATTTACTCATTCATTTTGTTTAGAAATCCGTTAACATTTCTATTATTTATCTCTGTATATAACAAGATATTGTTCATCATTCGTTTTGATACCTAATCAAAACAAATGAAAAAATATACACATTTAAGTTAATAGTGTTTTTTGAAACGTATTCATATTTGTTTTATAATTAAATATAAATATAATTGATAATAATGAAAACAACTTTAAACGTACAAAAGAGTAGTAGCGAATAAATTAGTTTAACCGTGGAAAGGCACGCAATAAGAAAAAATCAGTTCGAAATCGATCTCCCACGGTTCAGCTATCTCCAATTATCATTTCTCGATACCGAGCTTTCCACAATTAAGCTAATTCGCACGCGATCCCAGGACCTGTAAGACCAGTAGTGATGCGATGTTGAATATAATGATGGGGCACAATCAACTCTCACGCGCTTCAACACGGGATGATGGCTTATTATATTATAATACTTAAGAAATCGACCTCTTAATTTCCTGTGACAACGTATCATCTTAATCTCAGACTTCCTGTAACTTATCTCTTTAGATAATATTACGTAGAGTACGAATGATATATATATATATATATACCAGGTGTTTAAAATTGTATGGCACTAAAACGAACGCAGCTTTATCACTCAAAATTCAATTACAAATGTCATGGTGTTTATTTTATTATTCTGTCCACAAAAGTAAAATATTTGCCGTAACAAATTAAATCAAATACGACTAAGCGGTTAGTTTCGATATAACACAAACGGCATATATCAACATTCGGTTATTCTGCGTCAGTTTGTGGGATAATTGCGAAACAGTTCGTAGAGTTGAATAATAAATGATTTAATAACAGAGCGCGTTTGCTCCGAGCGGGTATGTTCAGTTAAAAAAACAAGTAACGATTTGAAAATCTGACGGTAGACATGGTAGGTTCTGTATTGTGCACGCGATGTGCCTCGGGCCACGCGCACTATCTACACAAAACGACACTGTTTGTCGACAGCAACATTTAATTTTAAACTCTGCCAATATATAGCAACCCCACTATGTCGCTGTAGCATTTTAAACTACATTTCCTAAATACATAATCGACTAAATAGCATCGATACAATGACGCTATAAATTCCTAATATCGCCCCTAAGCCACCCAAATACTTTCCTAAACTCCCTTTCATCCCCACAAAATTACGGTTTTTAAAGTAATCATAATTTTACTTTAATCAACTTTTGTACTACTAAACGGAAATGATTTACTCTTGAACATTCATAAAAACGTGGAGAATTAAGTAATTACCCATCAATTAGACTCCGGGGAAATATTTTCCAAGTCATTGTTTAAAGAAATTACCAGGGTAATTGTCTTCGTCGCTGTGTTAAAGGCTGTGAACGCCTTCAATATAACAAGCACATCTAGATTCTAGGCAGTAGACCGTGAAATGTTGTCGTCTCAATTTGCTCCCGTGACAATACACTCCGCAATGACCCCGCAATTTCTACGCTTAGCTTTGCTCGTAAATTACTGTGCGCACTAAGATTTATTTGAACGAGAGTTTTCAGTTTAGTAATAGGAAGAGTAAACAGCAATCAATAAGTTCTGTTATATAGAAACTATCGTTTATATGAATCGTTTGTAAGAGAAAACTTGTCGTGTTTGTGATAAACGCTCCTTTTTAGATAAGGAAACTGAGAAAAGGACGGTGATTTATCTAAAATAACCATACAATTTAACGGAAACGTCGAACTCGTCGTCGGCACTTCGTCCAAATTGGACGATTTTAGCGCAATATATTATCGGCTTCTGTATTTGTTTCGCAAACAACTTACAAGTTTTTACCATTACGAGAAAAGATTTTCCTCTATAATAACATTTAAAAAAATTCTGAATTATTCGTTTGTTTTCAGAACTGTTAACTACTTCAAGTGGATTACAATAAACTTGTTAATTTTTTGAAAAACCATATACTATACTATACAGGAGTAATTACGCTAACAATGTCCAGTTTAATTCTTTACTAATACTAAATATTATTTGAATTACAAAAATATTTTATTAAGGAAGCTTAGTTTAACCTTATGCAATCAAGTTGTATGCGTTTGTATATTTCCTTAGTATTAATTTACAGTACAATAACAGTTCAAGATCTGAAATCAACCATGTTTATGCAAGGAGTATGTTTTAAGTAGAATGTAAATGTTGCCACGTGGGGAGGACAAGCAGTCCGTACTCGACACCCGCGATCCACTCTCACATTCACCACGCGACGACAATGCGAGCCAAATAGAATTTAATATTCATAGAGACGTACGATTCAGTGAATTCATCGCTCGCACCTTGGACCCGGGCCCCGCATATAAAAGACCTTTCCTGAGCTCCCGGGTGTACTTCAAATAATTCGCCTCAGAATAGCTGCACTTCAAAAGTGATGGAATAGAAATGGAGAAAAAATCTATGCGTTGTTTCATGATACGGCGAAATTGAAAATACCGCCGGCGTCCCAAAGGGCGACCGTGAGCTTCAAATAATCTTTTCTTTTTGATGGAACACGTATTAGCCTTAAGAAAATATTAATACATATTTCAACTTTAATTTTACGAATTTCACCTTGCCGTATCATATTTGTGAAATAAATGAATCATAGGTAGGTACATAGCATACATGCACATGACAGAAGGCTAAATGGGTGATTTATTTGTATAAAAAGGGAACAGTAGCGGAAATGTGACTGCCCCATCTGTACTAAGGACGTTTGGAACTTATAAATATTAAACCATTGTAGACAGCCTACATTGAAATAGAATAAAACAAATGACGATCAGTATACCTTTATAACAAACACTTAAATATATTTATCATTATGTACTTTTACCTGCATTTCATGAAGTAATTCTCTTTCGTCGAGAAAAACAACGCGACAAGCCAGAGTTCGCGGCGCAGGGCACAGACAATCCATCATTTTTCTAGCTTGGGCCGCCTCAACTGAAACAAAGAAAAGTCAAATTAAAGTTAAATTTTAAAGACAATAGATTATTCTGCTTTATACAAGACAATGACTCTTATAAACGAAGCTTCAAGCAATTATTATGTTTAATTAGTATCTAATAATTATGTTTTTAAACAAATAGCTCTAAGCTGCAGCATAATAATTACCTACTATTATTTTTATATTAAAATAGGTTTGCATATTTTGGCACAAATTTCCCTGCTTAACACAGAAATTCCTTGTTAATGTTGTTTATCTTGTATTACAGGTATTCTAAAATATGAACGTATACATTTTCTCTCTCAAAGCTAAAGTTGTTTGAAGGCAATTACGGAGTTATTTGCAGCGAGACTCAATAGTAAAATCACCAAAGGGTTGGTCGAAACCAAATATATCCTCGTTAAAAGTTAGTCCAGGGAAACGCGAGTGCCGCTTTCTGTTTTAACAGTTTTATTTTAATTAGTAGCAGCACCCTCTCTAATAGGCGGATTTGATTTGACGGGATTTTTCAAGCTCATGTTAGCATACAATTTTATTAGTGAGTATTGATGGACGCGTATTGTGACTACCGAACGCCAGACTTTCCGCCGCTTAATTGAACTTTCCCTTTTCATCCTGCACGTTAATAAAAAGTACCTGGTTCTATCGGATTATGCTTTTTATTTTATTTTATTTCGTTATGTACATAGGAAAAAGTATCTAATTATTCAATCCAGGAGTGTAATGTATGTAAGTAAGTTTAGATAAGTTTGGAACTACACGTACAAACAAATAACAATAAAACACGGTGAAAACTATATTATAGTGCAAGACGAAACTTCTAACAACGGAGCAAACTGAGAAGTTGGAAACAAACAACAAAGACGGCAATAGGAGCTATTAATCCGAGCGATCCTGCGAGAGATTAAAGCCTCAATTGCCCAACATAACTTGAACCTGAACGTTCCAAAATATTTTCAAACAAAACTACGGTAAGAATTGGTACGAGTAGCGTTCATTGATATAAATTAGAACTCATTACTTTTACTAACACTATGATGATCCCATGACAATAGTTTAATCGGTGCGTTATTGCTACCAAAAGATTGACGTGTTTTTTTGAAATTTCTTTTTAATTATAATAATACCCTGGACTCATGGCATTGTGTGCAGGGACTTATTCTATCTCTTAAATTTTAACTGATAACGATACAATATATTAATTAGAATAAACTAGTTCACGAATGACGTGTTACGCGTCTCGATATACCCTGGCTCCTAATATGTTTATTTACAATATTCATGGGCGAGACCGGGCGATTTAAGATTGAGGTGTTTACTAACAGCTGATAGTTTAAAAATTATAAATACCTACTATGAATTTGCCTTTCATTCGCTTAAAGGCATAATAGGCTTTATTCTTTATAAATTAGTACTCGTATTGTCGAATTTAAAGTATAATGATTCAATTGCAACGTTCTAATTCTTAAAGCCCTCTATTTGGCAGATAACTTAGCTATCAAAGTTGCAAGCCAACTGCAATATTTAGTTCATAAATTTTATTTAAACTAATAAAATCTACAATCGAATTCTTTAGCAGACACTGTTTATCTTAAATCTTGCAATATGCTTATACCTAAACTATCTGTACTACTAAAAAACAATGTATAAAACTACTTCAGCACTTTACCCTAATGTAAGTTTTGCTTGGATAAATTTTATATTTTGTATAATTAAGTCATAAAGTCCGTGCTAAAAGCTAGTATACAACTATGTGAATGCACTTTTAGCCAAAGAACAATTGTGTTGGGACCACATCAGAACACATCGCTACAATTTTCTTTGTTTAATAATTCCTCATTAATAATGGTACTGTTGGGAACTCCATTGTATGTGACAATAAAAGTAATTTCCTTGCGTTATAACAGGTATCATAACACTTATATGGCTTATGTATTCAAGCAAAAGGCATTTTTTTAGAATATTTACAATTCTTGGAATTTGGTTGTTTTTAAAAATAAAACTTTGCATTCAAATAAAATGTTAATAAAACGTTAAAATTCGTGGCGCGTTCCTTCTTGTTATTTGGCAGGCTGAGTGGGTGGCATAAATACATTTAACTTTAATAAAATACTCTAGATAAAATAATGTAATGGATTCATGCTTCGTGTTGAATGTATTCTTGTATGAAACTTTTATTAACTTTTATTTCACACGACGGGATATTTATTTTTAAATATTTTATAATTAAATAAAGTAAATGCTACTCGCGAAAACAATTTTTTAAAATCGGTGTAGATATTTTATATTTCATCCGCTTTTGAAAGCACTTTTCGCCACTAAAATACTATAAGCGACAAATCCAAATACAAACAACGGTGCTTTAAAATAAATTAAACGAAACACCAATCCAGAGTATCCTAATCCCAAAATGTATAAAATGTTAAAGAGTAAAGACTGAAATGCTTATTTTGTTTGCTATTTTATGTACAAAAATAAGATCAAATTTCCGAGCGATTTAATTAAAATCTTTTAAAATGTTGGATCCATAATGTGTGCCAAATTTATAAAACAATACTTTAATTTAGAAATTCCGAAACTGCCTGTGTAATTTAAAATCAATTATCTGCTCTGATTTCTCAGGAAATAGGTTGTAACATTTCCAAGGCAAACAGTATGAATATGATCCTGCGTACTCATATAACAATATATACCTTCTTCTCGACATATGTTAACGGTATGCATGTATCCATTTTATCTTAGGTTATGATTGGTCTTTGATGATGAGAGTAAATTATTTTAATCTCCTCTATTACGTTCTAATTAGTTTTCACTGCAAAAAGGTTGTAGCTATTGCCATTGGTGTCTGTCTCCTTTATATTTTTAAATTTGGATATAGTTATAAACAGTACCGTACAAGGAATACTACCAAGGGACAAAGTATGTACACATTTTTGAAAATGTTAAGTCATAGTAGGTCCTCGTAGTATGTCACAAAACTTACGAATAGCGGCCTTTACGTACACACCGAATATAATAGAAGATTCAAAATAGTAATAAGACGTTAGCAAAGTTAGGTGCGACGGGCGAAGCGGACGCCACTGCATGCCGTCACGCGTCTGCCTTGTGCATATTGATGTCCAGAGACACACAGTTTTATACCATACCCAAAGGAGTAATAGTTCATAGTGTATGCAAATGTACAACACGGCATCATTGCATCTTTGTGAATTTGTGTGGGTGATATTTCAGGACTTATCAATTCGACTCTAGCTATCCTACTAGAGCTAGGCGTGATCCCATAGCTTAGCAATCTGTAGTCAAATGTATAAATACAGACTATTATTATATAATAAATCAGTATAGATTAGGACAATTTTAACACATACCCTCAAATAAGACTAAAACCTAATAAATTAAGCTCATAGTGAAATCATAAATTATTGTTAGAGAAAGCACATCCAAATTCTATTGAATATGTGTTTATGTGATAGAATGATCAATGGACGAGCTGGTATATACAATATACATATAGCTATTATACCAATTCAAATGTAGATTGTAGATATCTATGAGGGGATAGAGTCAATGCCCAATGACATACGTTTGAATAACAGATCGTGAATTCATTTATTCTACCGTCAATTCGTTGATAAAACGGTATGATGAATTGAAAACATTTTCACTACTAAAACTAAATACAGATAAGTCCAATCTCTATAAAAGCTTTTCATACGAGTTCCATATTTCCAACACTTTTACTAAATTAGTTATATATTCCAAAAACAAAAGATACACAAAACGCTTGGCTACGCAGTTTCAAAGACAAAGCTTAGGAGCGAGTCATAATTGAGCAACTTAATAAAGAGTTGTGCGGAATGAATAATTTATCTAAAAAGTAATTTTGCGCACGAAATTTTCTGTTAAAACAGAAATTGAACTGCCTACATATTAAGTCAAATGACCCGACTCGAATTTTATGTGGCAATAAGTTACACGCAATGTGTGCAGGGACATAGGTGGTGATGTTTCACGTTAGGGAATAAATTGATCTGAGAGGCCATATCTCGGCGGACGTCGCTCGTAAACCTCCACTCGACCAAGCACTTTTCGCGCTTCCAATAAACTTGCTTTACCGTCAAACCTGAGTCAATTAGGTTATCAGGTGTTTTATAGGCTATAAAGCAAATTAATTAATACAGCTTCAACGTTTTATTTCAATAGTGCTATTCAAGAAACAATAGCTATATTCAAATAAATAGTGTACTATTATTACTATATTATAATGAGCTGATGCCCGCGACTAAAACGAAATTAAAATAGAATATAATATTTTCAATATTCCGTAAATAGCGATCACCAGTACATTTTCGTTTGGTATTATTTGATAAAGTTGCCTCAAAGAAGACCGAAGCTTTTTAATAGCCGTTTAATAGAATAGAAAAATAAACTTATACATTTATTAATTACAGATGAATTAATACTTGACAATGTCACCGCCTGTGCCAGTTAGTTGGTCAAACGCGTGGTGGTTAACCCACGGCTCTGGGATTGATATAATTTTGTCAGAATAATCTAAGATAAACAGATGGAGTAATATTTCGGCCAAGTACATATTTTAAAAAGATTATTTTCATCATTATGAGAACTGAAAATCTTATCTTATTGGGTAAATATTAGCAGGCTCGTAATATTTTCCGAACTATTGTATTAAGATAAAGAAACAAATGGAATGACAAATATCGAAGGTATCCTTGAATAAAGTTAACAAATGACTTGAACTCAAGTGCTTGCTTGGAAAGGAGCCAGAAGCACGAATTGCTTACGAATGATATAACGACATACGTTGCTAGAGCAAATTGTTCACAGTTCTTGGGAATTTTAAAAACTAGCAAATACATATGTATATAAAATTTATTGTAGAAGGCAACAATTCTGTTTAATATGGTAGGTATGTATGAATTCGATAAATATTTACAATACCTATTAAAGTTTATAAATATGTAGCGATTGTTTTTTTATAGTGACCTATATATTGCTAATCAGTTTGATCTTCAATATAATTTAATTTAAATACAATTTATTTTTAACTCTACATAAAGTTGTGGCTATCGATATAATTTTATGATAATTTGTCAAAAATATGACTCACAAAATGCGGCCAGAGTCGCAAGCGTGCTCGGGCTTATAATAAACGAATCGTGTGAATCAGAACCTAACTACTATTTTGACTTTGACTGGAGTCGTTTTTTGCCGCTGACTTACATTATTACAAGTAATTACTTGACTCACAAATTACAGCAGGTAGCCCGCGGCGATCCCGCTCTCGAAACAATCGGTGAGCCGAGTGAAGGCCCATACACTGTCCACGCCCACAGTTTAAAATTCTTAAAACTGGCATGGGAATTAACTAGTTCGCCGCACTGATTATTACAGTGTCTACACTAATAAGCGGACCAAGATGAAAATAGATTACCCTATAATGACTGTGCTCTGTGATTTCACAATTTGAGGTGAATATACAGGTAGTTAACAAAACTTAAACCACATTCTGTTAAACTAACTCTATTTGCTTGCCAACAAACAAAAAACAATCCGAGTATTCAGCGGTCTCCCCTCAGATTTTTGTAAAGTACCTAGTAACGAAGAACCCTACAGATTACAGAGCCCCAGCGCTCATGCACTCACTTTGTGTAATAAGGCCCTTCGCTCTAAATGTTTCAAATTAAACGCGATCGTCGCAAATTCTAACTTTCAACAATGAAACATCTTCGTTTTGTAGCTTGGCGTTTCGGGAACCCGCATATCGAGAGGCTAAATTAAATAACAACGGAACTTTGAGGATCTCACCGTCTGAAGTGGAGTACCGTGAAGCAGATGGAACGATATTAGTTCGATTTCTATTGAAAGTTTTGACCGCAATGTTCCTGACGGCCTCTCAGCGGCAAGTAGAACGCGCCAACGCGAGCTAGTTCACAATAATTACTCTTTATTTCCATTTATGAATGCTGAAAACATTTGTTTTGGTGTATAGGCCTTTCCATAACTACTTATTTCAGAAACAGAAATGAAAGTTTTCATAAACTTCTATTGTTTCTTGTAAAGGGTTTTTAAATAGGTCACAACCTGGATTTACAACAGAAAAATATTACTTTTAATTTTTAGTACAAATAGCACGTTTAACAATGCGTTACATATTATATACGTACTAGTATTTTCAGTTTTAATATTAATATTATTTTACCAATTTTTGTTACAGCGTTATTTTGAACTTAAAGTAAACTATTTTTATTATTTATTTTGAACTAAATAATAGACGAAATTAAAGTCTTTTTTGCTGTTATAATGACATATGTATTATGATCCAAATGCCTGGTCATACGCATGGTCAAAGTTTTATTTTGAAGGGTGTAAAATGTTTTCATATAAATTAACAATTAACAAATAGTATTAATATAGATTAGACACTTTACAAAAATACCAAATATTTTATTTTATTTTCTAACAAAGTTTAAGCCACATTCGATACTTATTTTTAGTGAAATAAAGAAAGAATACTTGTAAAAGACCGCCCTCTTTATTCTTATCAAACAGATAGCTTATTACAAGTACAACTAGTACAGTAATATATTCTGAAAGTTATTTTCAATATACGTAAGCTCTAGTCTAGTCTTTGTAGCTATACCTCGTTATAAATTTGGAGCGAAGCGGACACAATTGAATCTGCTAATCGGAAATGGGCATTGTCCAACGTTAGAAGGTACCTTTGTAGTAAATGCATGACAATCACGTCGCGCCCACGTTCAGCTTCGATTCACAACATATATGTAACTGAAGTTATGTTTATATTTTGAAGCTATGTATCCTAGCGTACATATTAGAAAAAGGTCATTTCAACTAAAAACCGTGTCCGTATTGAAGATAACGCAGTAATTATAAATTAGAAAATACTCCTTAACATAAAGATATTTGTTATTAGATATATAAATAAAATTTATTAGTGTTACTCGCTATGAGACGTTTGTGGTAATTACATATGTCTAATATACAAATGAAGTGATTTATGCAGGAATAGGTGTAATTGAAATGTCTACCTTACATCACTACAATTTAAAGAACTAACAACTCTGTACTACCTTTAGTTAAGATTTCATTTTCTGTGCACCATTCAACCGAATCCGCGCAACAAGTCTTATATTTTTCCTTTATTTCTAGTATAAAAATAAACCTTTATAGACCCTAGACGAGAACACAAGACGATATTGAATTATGCAAATATTAACAGGTTTATTTATTTCCCCTAATTTATTCAAGACACCATCAAAGCGTCAATAAGACGTTAAAATATGCGCATTTTTTCTTCCTTTTAATTTGTCCTATAAAGCCGTATTTCATAGATGAAATCTGGATAAGGGAGTCGAAGTGGAATCTCGAGTACGTGGTTCCTTTAGTGGAATGCGATTAACAAATCGCAACGAGGACAAGAGGACTCTTGACCTGGCAAAACTCCAAAGTCGCGTTCCTCTAAAAGTAATTCATACTGTTATTAAATAGTCCCAATGTAATTACTTAAGCTGTAGAAACTTAAATAACCAAAGTTATTAAACAGCCATAAGTTCAATAAAAAAATAACCAACAGTTCCGTGATACGTGGATATAAAATAAGAAATGTGAAACAATTCTCATTTCCCCTCTGTAATTGAGTTCCTTTGATTGAATTTAAATATTTTTCCGAGACGTTTGAATGGTAATGGAAAACGCATAGTAATAAACGGACTCGACAGTATTTTTATACTTTTCTGTGTATTAAGATCGCTATTAAGCAATTAATTTTATATGAAATACTTAATTGAATTATGAAATCCTCTTGAAATAAGTATAGCTAAGAAAATAATCACAATTGGTAACGTAGAGAAATTATAGAGAGTTTGCTATTTATCACAATCTTACTTAAATAATCCATTCAAACACAACGCTGTTATTTTTGGTTGATTTTGATTACTTTAATCTAACAGGCCAAAATAAATAGTCTTCAACATACTCGATGTTGTCATCCCTACGAGTATATGTATAACTTATAACTGAAACGCCACACATTCTATTAAGTCAGCCTTCTAACATGTAACAACGTATAAAACGGTTCATATATATATGGCTACAATAAAGCTTCTAAAAAGTACCAGATAAATAGGTATAAGGAAAAACTCGGTTATTACTAGTTGCTAGGGCTATAATTGCTTAGAAACGCTATTATTTAAAAATTCGATAGACAGTAACTGATTCATTTTTGTACATGTCAATCTCGGTATTGATCGTGAAATTCATCACAAAGTGACCATATTTTGTTAAAATGGTTATATTTCAGGGTATGGCCAGATAGGTCGTTATGTGATCTTTTAATAAATTTTCGAGTAGAACCTTGCTGGAGTATGTATTTTACTAAGCAGTGCAGGGGTAAAAATATATTTATTAAATAAAATTCTATAACAGCTGTAATATATTTTTAGGAGAACACAAGTAAGAACATATACTAGTTAAGTTATCATTTATTTTATTTTTTATTCATTATTATTTTCATTAAATTATCCGGGCGCCTGTATTCCAGTTAATGAAAATTGTAATAAATTCCCGTATTTGTAATTGAAGTTAACTTCAAACTTTTGTTTTGTTTTCAATGACGCCTGGACCGAATAGGAAAATTCTTTTTTGTTTGCAAGTGCTTTTTTTTTCAAATAGGTTCAGTATTCTGGAGTAATCGAGGAAGTTGTAATTCGTTGACGAAGCCTGGCCATTTCATGAAATGGGCCAACATGCCGTAATTATGTATTAATTAGACCAAAATAGGCCGTTTTTTGTTAAATGATACATATTTATTTAAGTTAAAACTAGTGAGGCAGGAGGCCCAACAAAATAGATTAATTAGAATTGAAATCACGATTACCGATTGATACTTGAATACACTTGAACTTTGATAACTAAGCACACAACCAAACTACTTAGGTATTCCTAATGGATACTTCACTAAAGGTCATCAAACTAGGAAAATTATTTATCTAAAAAGTCTAAGTGGAGCTCATGGATAATTTACAGTGGGTCAATTGAAGAATTAGATAATTGTCAAATTGAGAAATTAATGCAGGAACTTCGTGACCGGCCTGCCATACCGGCCATTCAACTCTATGGCCTCGTGCGATGACCAGGCTCTGCTGCTCACAACAATTGTCAGAACAAAAATTTATGAAACTAAGCCCTCCTCATAATTCCCCCGCGCTCTGATTCACACACAAATTACCCGTTACAATATAAAAAAATCTTAGCCCCAGCTATGCTATAGTTAAGTATTCTCTATCCAAACAAACATAGACGTACTTACAAATTCCAAAGGTCTATCCAGTCTCCACACTAATATCCATACGCGGGCCCGTTTATGACAATTTCGCATTCAAATCGTACTTGTGGATATGACTCGCGGAGCCGGTATTTTCTGTGCACTTTCACGGTACTTTCAAGAAACTTTTTACATGAAGATTTTAGTAAAGTCACTTATCAACCGGTTTGTCCATGTTTATTAGTTTCTCGATGAATACCAAGTTTATAAACAAAAGGTGGAATCGCGTATACGACTAACGATGAGGGTGTGACGTGCCACCTGTCACCACGACGTACAAATATTCACTGCCGCCTCGACGTTCGAGCAATGAGCGGATGGCGGGGCCGGTCACCGGAGGCAAGCCGATCCTGCATTTACTCCGGCCTCCCGCGTTCACATCTCGATACGTTGCTTTATTTTCAATCATGTACATCGCTATCTTATTTATTTTTCTTGTTATCTCATATATAAAAAAAATCGCGACATAATTATTCAAAATCCAAATGAAAAAACATTGTAGTAGTAAGTACCAATTACAGTTTTAAGAATTTAATAATTTTTAAAGCGCCATCTACAGTTCTTTTAAAAACATAAACTTAAAGAATAGTGCCACCTATTTCCAATCAACAGTACTAAGTTGAAATAAAAATGCAGGACGGCAAAATAATCGTAGCTTTAAGTATCCTAATTTAAAATATCTTTGTCTACTACTTTTTAAATAGTCTCACTAGAGTGCGCTAAGCCACTTTACGGTATTTTTCATTAATTACGTTTGATTTAGAACTTGGCAAATTCTGACACCCGGAGAGTGCTAAATCAAATGCTACTTCGCAATGCCTTCTTTAAAAACTTTAATTTTGTAAAATGAACATAAGTATATGTCCTTCTCTAGGCTATATAGTGCTTTGATTGTAGGAATTAGAATTGTTCTTTTATTTCATTAGGTATAATGAAAATCTTTGCTTTCAGTCCGCTTCCTTTTTATAGTTGCTTTAACTTTTTACTCTTAAAGTATGAGCATTATAGCAACATAAATATATTTAAACAAGAGTTTAGAACGGTAGGACTTCTTACGCGTTCTTGGTAGGTTTTTAAATTGTCCCTTGGATAAGTATTTTTATTTTTATATGCAACAAAAGGCGCCACACGGGAGTAATAAATACTTCTTACATAATTATTCCCTAGTAATAAAATATATATAGAGGTACAAAATAACAAACATTAAAGGTGATGTAGATTACGAGATAATTAAATTAAGTCTGTGATTATAATATATTATACAAATAGATTTAAAAATTTCAATAAACGCGTTAGTTGTCAGTTTTAACTAGGTATGTTCATTATAATATTACGATATTATCAATTACTTATGTTTTATTGTGGTTCGCTTCGTCATCAATTGATCATTGTTATTCTATTGAGAGTCCTTAGGGCAACTCACTTTATGAGTCATACTCAGACGTGATGACATGTCAAGTACATTTTAGGATTCACCATTTGTAACTACAGCTTATGTGAATTTAGGCCACATTTGATATATGTATAAAACTATTCACCTATAATAATATTATAAAAAGGGAAGATTTGTATTTTTCTATGTTCGTAACGTAAATGTCCGTGTCGACATAACGTAACGTAACGTAAATGTCCGTGTCGACATAACGTAACGTAACGTCAAGTTACTGCATCGATTAAAAAAAATCATCGAACGTTAGATTGGTACAATCTTATTTTTTTTACAATTGGGTAGGAATCACTAATGGAGTTCGGTCAGCATTGCCTGGGAACCAGAGTAAGCAAAAGCCCGGCCATTCCGAGTCATCTATATCCTAGTCGTCCGCTCTGGGACCTGCTGCAGCCACGCTTTCGCATGCCCACTATATAGAGCTGCAGCTAAGCTGTGGATGCATGGAAAAAGGCGCATATTCCCTTCATCCATAACCTTTCTGTGTTAAAACAGAATCTACTAAGTAAGTCGAAGTCTTCGTCAACCGCTGTCTTCGCCATATTCTGGGTATCTACTGGCCGAGAAGATCTCCAACGAGCAGTTTTGGGAGCGTAAAAACCCCGATTAGCTCTGGCTTCTGAGACCAAGTGACGCAAGTGGATAGGCCATACACTCCGAAGGGATTCCAATCATATCCCCAGGCAGGCGCTTGATTGGAACCAGCTTGGAAGGCGGAACTTGGTCGGCGTGGCGTTCGAATCCGGGAAAGCCCGGTTTCATAAACTACCTCCTACCTTGCCTTCATACGGGTGTAATGTAAAAACTATAACGTGAGTTTGGCGTGATTAATAAAAATTTTATATTGTTTCGTTAGTCCATCCATCTACTGTTAAAAACGTGTAGTAGGTTCTTTCGATGTTCTTTTCCTACGTTTCAGAGAACTTACATGAAAATTAAGGTGAAGCCATCAACTAAATAACGTGAATGTTTTTAAGGCATACTTTCATATATGAAATGTCAAGCTATTTCCACAGGTAATTTATTATTCTCATCTTAACGTTTGGCAAGAGGCTTACGCAACATTTAATGCATGTTTGTTCATAAAAGAAACAATGGAATGAAGGTACAATCGTTTCTGGTCCAAAAACTTTTGCTCTAGATGTATTTAACGACAAACGAGCTGTTACATTGTTTATTTATGAAACGTTTATACGCATTTTTCTGTAACTACACACTAAATAATTCTTAGTCATATTCCTACGCATATTTTATCACATCATACTGAGGCTAGAATGTGGAATCTGCTGCAGGGTTCGAACGATCTAGAAGGTTGTCTGCTATCAATTATTGACTCTTTTTTAATTTTTTATCTATGTTAACTTATTAATTATATCGTAAGCATTACGTTCGTACACGCCGTCCGTACTTACTATTGAGGTCATACATTGGTTAAATTTTTTGTAATTTGTTTGATTTTTTATGCGTGGTCTTATTGGTGCGGCTGAAAATAAATATTTTCATAGAGGCACGAGGATTACTAAACAGAACGTTTAGAGATATTTATGGCTATGCATTTATAAGTGAGAAAGCTATATAACCTAAATCAAAACCCAATTTGAAACGTTCATTTTAAAATTTCTTGTAATCTTGTTGAGATATCAAGAGTATCAAGTCTACAAATTTTCACATGAGACTATCAGCTATCGGATGCGGGCTCTCGAGCGTATTATAACGGCTATATGACACTTGATGTAAAATTAGTCATTCACGTAGAAACTGGCTGATTCCCATGTAATTTTATATTGTTGAAGATGCCGCTCCTAATGTTAGAATTCCTCCCACATGCTAATAAAATATTTATTTGAAGCCAAACCCATAACGAGCAACCTGCCTGCTCCCTGAGCAACAATAATAAATGTAGGCGTAACAACAAAGTATTGGCATATGAAAAATATCGTTATGTTGGTTCAAAGAAAATACAACACGTACGAAGTAAAAAGATAGCTAAAAGCTTTTCGGCTGTGAAACATGTAGAGATTGTGATTTTTTTACAACATTTATATACACTTATTTATACATATTCGCGTTTATAAAGGTCTATAAAGCATATAGGTACTATATAGCCCTCATTTTGCTGTACATTTCTTTTAATTATGCATGGAACGAGAGGTAGGTACCTTCTTCCCACTTCCCACGTTCCATGGCTTGTTACCATACTTACTGATAATGGAAAACAGTTGTTACTTTTTCACTACGCATAAATAGTTTTATTTTACATAACGTAATAATGGTCTTTGTTCAAGGCACTGCCTTCGTTTTATTGTCAGTCGTCATTATTTTTTATTCTAATAGATCTAGGGTTTTGTTGGATTTATTTATTTTCTTTGTATATTAAAGCTATACATCGTATACAAAGCAGCAAGCTTTATTTATTTATTTACAGCATACAGATTATAAGCCAAAGAGACGATTTTTGTTAATAAAATAATATTGTGTTTTCTTTAAATAGTTCGGTCATATGAACGGCTCGGTGAACTTTTTTTTAAAATACATAAGCAATTATGTAATATTTTCCTAAAATAAAATCTTGATGAATTTTAATAAATCATTATTGCTTGAAAACATATGTATTTTCTTTGCGAATTGCCTACTTTTGCCTTAAGGCTTGCGTTATTTCTATTGTAGGAAAAGTAGGTATACCTACTAAGGTCAATGAACAGCTCTCTGGTAATTAGCGACATCCAAAGATGACCTGAATTAAGAGCGATATCATTCAGATCTAAGAGATAATGTGGTGCTATAGCGCGTGGGATTGTCTTTTAAGCATTGTATTTTTTCAAGTATTTTAATTATTCAAGCTGTTTTTAATTCCTACTCTAGTTAATGATAACACCTGTATTAATTAGTTCGATTAGGTATTCATTTATATTCTACTAACGTAGAACGTAGGCACGTATTTTAACTGTCATTGCTATACAATTACATTAAGTAGTTGTATGAATATCGAGAAGGTTTATAAGTATGTATACATTTAAATGTAGCATTTGAAGTTTCAATCAGCATAAACTGTTTAATCATTGTAGCAAATAGAAAATAACAAAAATCAGGCAGCATGAAGGTCTTGCGGTGACCTTGAATTGGAGGCGCTCCTTAGTAATAATGTTTACAATAAACATTATATAATAGTATTACATACTCCAATCGACATAATGTTCTGTTTGTCCAATCGACATCAAGTAAAAGCTATAATAATCATTTTGCATGTTCCTTTTTAGGGTTACTAATTTGACAGATTGTGTTGTACTTATACATAGGCCTATATAAATACCTATTCCTAAGGCAAGGGATAATTCCGGCTATACACCAATGGATTTATTGTATGTGTACATGTAGAACGGTGAAAGAAATTATTACCAATCGCTAGATATTGAGCTACAATTTTTTTACGATGCTTAAATAATACGTGTGCAGTATCAGTAGTAATTTAATTATGAATTCATAATACAGTAAGAACCCACACTCAAAACTGTACAAATAATGCATCTCAAATGTCATTTGTGTAACATTCCTTGAGAGGCGATGGGCTTGTCATGATTCTAAGAACGGCATGAACTAAGAAATGTTTGTGTATGCTTTGTTACAATACGAGTGCAGGAATAATGAGCCCTTTGACAACAAATGAAAATTCGGAAGAGCAAGGAGAAATGACACGGTATATTGAACCAACCTCTAACTCCGTAGAAAAAAAAACCACTTAGGGAAATTAATATGATCATAACTTCTATTACACAATGGTAATCATTAGACACATAAAAAAATACAATCTGGGAATATAAAATATGCACATATGCAATTAGAATAAATAAACTAATAATTTATTTGATTTAATTAATAACTTATTTATTATAATTTTGTACATAACAATAATATATTTTTCCAATTTTTTGAGCAAACTTGTGACGTTTGTCACTTAATATTAATTTATA